CAAGGATTTCGTGTGGTTTTTATAGCAGGCAGAAGTCCATCGTTGGTTGCCGTTATCCAGACGGAAAGTCATCTAAGTGTCTACCAACTCGGTTCACTTATTTCCAATTTCTTTCTCCTCCTGCGGATTACCGATTGTACAAATTTCGTGGTGCTGCTTTTCATGCTTGGTATACTTTTGGGCATATATATCATCATATCCACAGTCGCTGGCCCTAGCGACACAATTGTTTAGATTTACGTGTGTGTGTGTGTGTGAGTTTTGTTCGGTTATGGGTGTCATGCCTGTCAGTTTATTTCACAACCCAGTGTGACACCTCGTGCTTTGTTGAACCAGTCGATACTATGGGTTTTTAAACGTTTGGCATAGCAATTAAACCGTCCTGCAGGAAGTTGATTTTGCCGAGTTCAATAATTGCTAAATCTCTCTTGACGTGCTTAGGCCCTGTGGGCATGAAGCACCTCAATGATCGCATCTTGGACCAGGTGGGTTCGCGAGTGGATGAGGTGAAGAAACTGGTGATCCTAAACCGTCCTCTTCTGGAGGAACTGCGGGGAGCGTTTGATGACCCAGTTAAAACACGAAAACTCGCAACGCAGTTGCAGAAGGTGGACGTGCTGCTCTCTTACCTTCGGGAAATTGGCGTTGCTTTGGCGTTTTTGTCTCTCTGTCGCGAGGCTGTTGGTGACGTTATTAAAGTGAGTCCCTTGATTATTTCATTTTCACTCCTAAAGTGCACAAATATTCTCTCATCTCTTAACCTTTTCTAAATCAAATTTGGATGGGGTCTGTTTAAAAGTTTCACACTTCAAAACGGTTTCTATGCAGTTTACAAGACCTTTGTACCTTTTAACATCTATTACCACCGTAAGGGGTGTGTGTGTTACTTTCGATCTCCAACCTGTAAAAGTGTTATTTTTTTCCTGGAATTACTATGAGGTTGTAAGGTTGTTCAATTATTCTGACTTAGAATATCTCAAAAATTTTTCTTATACAGCATGTAAGTGGTGTACTAATACACCGTTTATCCTCAGTGAGCTCAAAGCCATTCTTGTGTATTTTTAACACTGTTTTTTTGTGGTAACTACGTTTTTAAGTCTCAAGGCCTGCAAACTGCCGAAAAACAATCACTGGTGAGATCAGAAGTCATGAATGGCTGTTGCCTCCCACACGCACTTCACCTCACCTTTTGCAGTGGCTAATTTTCGTTTAACTGTAGCTTCGCGCCCCGTTCCTGGTGGACACGGCAAAGAGCATTCGTACGTACATGCGCCGTCAAGGCGGGGGGCGGTTGTTACCTCCAGCCACTCTTGAGCCCGACCTGAATAATTCAGATGACCTTGCTCGCCTTCTTGAGGCCCAATTACTAACCAGTAACCTTTGCACCACTATGGGTCTCTCCTGTGACGGCCTCGACGCCAGACTCTGTGCCCTCCTCCGTCAGGCCCACCGGTCCCCCTCGAGCATGAATGGAAGTGGGGGAGGAGCTACAGCACCGACGGCAGAGTCCCCTCTCAATCTGCAGTATCACATTGCCTGCCTTCTCATTGTCTTTGTTGCCAACGCACTGCCTCAACTGGCCAGGGTCAATGGGTGTGCCTACTTGGTTAATTTATCTGCTAATGAGGGAAATATGCACTGTATCGCCTACGCAGTCACCACAATAATGGTAAAGTAACCTTAGCTGTTATTGTTTGCTCAAATTGCACCCATTTGTAATCATCATGGCCATTATCGTTATTGTTCACAACCTTAATCGATCTACCTCCTCCTCCACTTCCACCACAGCCGTAATTAATTTTTTAAGTCGTAAACTCATGAGAACGAGGTGATCGTTTTGAGCATGGGTTTGGCCAATTTTGCAGATACTATGTTATAATAGTGCTATCAACCCCAGACCGATTGTGAAGATGCGGTCGCTTGGTGTTCCAATTGACAAGTGAAAAATTATAATATCTGATATTTCGATTGATCTTCCGGTGTTGTTCGAATTGCAGCCTCCCTAGTGCAGTTACCTTTATAGTGTGTGTTCATGGGTTTTTAAAATCCAGTTAATTCTGCGCGTTCAGATCGGCTAGCGTGCCTAGTAAAATATCATTAAGTTTCTTTGTACAATGTATCGTTTCAGATTTGCATGTTCTCGGTCTTGAGCCCTGGCGATTTGGAGGAGCGTTCGACGGAATTCCTGGCACTCGCCTCCTCCAATTTGCTTCGGCTTGGACTTGAAACCAGTTCTAACCTTGTATCTGCTGCGGAGATTAGTGGTGCTGGTGATAATGCCACATCTTTGCGCCACTCAGGTAACCTCAACAGTGTCTCTAGTTACAACCGAGACTCGGTATACCTTCTTTTTGATGAAATTGTTCGCTTATCACCCGTGCTCACCGCCAATCTACAGGAGGCATGTTTTCCTTACGCATTGATTCGTAGTGCCTATAACCACTTGGTGAACGCGAATTTACGACTTCAGCATCACCAAGCGAATAATCCGCCGCATCATAATCCCGAAACCACACCTCATCATCACTAATTTGCTTTATTTATGGTGAATCGACAGCTGGCTGATCATGGCAACATTCGTACGACAATAAACTGTTACTCCCGTTAAGCACGAGGTTTCGCCTTTATGTTTTCCTTTTGCGACTGTCGTCTGCTTGCAGCTATCTTGTATATACGATTTCTCTTATACTTCTTTAATCTCTTAACGGACGGGAATGTTTTACGTGTCAATACTTGTTAAAGTGTGAATAAATTTTTACGAATTGAGTTTGATGAATATGATGTACTTTCTGGACTCCTCTTATTGTCGAACAAGTTGTTTCTCTCAAGTCGACTAACTACAGCAAGACCTGCTTTCATGTTCTGATTTAGAGGTGTTTTGCCTTGCCAATGTCCTAGCGCCTTGGTCAAGCTAATTTTTCATATTGAGTGTGGCCCATTGCATGAGTTTCAAGCGCATAAGGTCAGGTTTTTGTGTTGCGAGAAATGGCCGAGTCTTGCTACCAGATCAAAAAAGTTGGGCGTGGCTTCTGGAGTCGATGCTTTACTGGTCCGCTAATTTCACTTTTAACTTGATTGGGATTAAGCATATTCATCTTCCTTCTTCAAACATGTTGGCTGAACATGTAGGGCGTAATTAGTACTTCATCACAAGTCGGCGGACCATATATACGGGTGTTAATAAATTACTGCTTTTAACGATAAATGGGTCCACTTTTAAATGCCATTTGACACAAGGCGGTATTTGCTAGGTAGATGTCAAATCAACTATATTTTTAACCAAAGGTTTTAAGATGGACAGGAACTTTATCCACACTAAGCGGATTGTGTACGTGCACTGCCACATGTAATGTTTTAGTTGGTAGCAAACTGTCTATGAGATTAGAAACAAACATAAATAACTTGTCGGCAAACGTATCAGTCAAATTATCAATAGGTGTAGTTTTAAATACACTCAAATTAGCGTTTGAGTTTCGTTTGAGGTGCAAGAATCCGTCACGAATTCAATGTAGACCTATAAAAAACAAGGTCCGGAATAAAGCTTATGCCAAACGTAAATATTCTAGTAATAATCAATACAACCAAGCAATTTTTGGTAGTTTAAATTCTTTTTAATCAGTGATTATGGTGAACCGATCATTTCATTCTGGCTGGAGACTTTCAATAAACAGAGAACAATGGTCGCAACGCTATAATGAAATTTAATTTCTGGGGTGGGTAGTTTAGAAAATTTGTGGTTCTGGCTTATGAGCGCGGACATATTGGATCACTCTAAGCATATATAATGAACAACCCAAATATTACAGGGGACTCGGACAGACGGTGCTTGATGACGGAATCTGTCTTGCGATTTGCAGATAATGTGTGATGTATGGTATGTCTTTTTATAATAGGGTTCGAGTATTATACAGTGGCATACTTTTGGGATCTAATGCCTAAATTCAAGTTGACTGATATACTGTCTGAAATTCAAATTTAGGATCACTAAAATGTTCCGGTGATGCTCTGATGTACCTAAAGATTCGTCATTTCACCTTCGTTTAAATGTTGTTCACTAAATTTGATTCAAAGCTTTGTGACGCGCGCCATTCGACCCACGCACGCCGGTCTGGTCTGTTCTTTGTCCTCCTCTCCCTTCCCGCACTCTCGCCTTCCTCAAGGCACGCCCGTGAGTCCGAGGGCAACGCCAACCCTCCTCGCGGCCATCCCTT